GTCCAAGAAAACCAGAGTGAAGTAATCTTACCTTGTCTGTCTCAGGTCCAAGAAAACCAGAGTGAATTAATCTTACCTTGTCTGCCTCAGGTCCAAGAAAAAACCAGAGTGAAGTAATCTTACCTTGTCTGTCTCAGGTCCAAGAAAACCAGAGTGAAGTAATCTTACCTTGTCTGTCTCAGGTCCAAGAAAACCAGAGTGAAGTAATCTTACCTTGTCTGTCTCAGGTCCAAGAAAACCAGAGTGAAGTAATCTTACCTTGTCTGTCTCAGGTCCAAGAAAACCAGAGTGAAGTAATCTTACCTTGTCTGCCTCAGGTCCAAGAAAACCAGAGTGAAGTAATCTTACCTTGTCTGCCTCAGGTCCAAGAAAACCAGAGTGAATTAATCTTACCTTGTCTGTCTCAGGTCCAAGAAAACCAGAGTGAAGTAATCTTACCTTGTCTGTCTCAGGTCCAAGAAAACCAGAGTGAAGTAATCTTACCTTGTCTGTCTCAGGTCCAAGAAAACCAGAGTGAAGTAATCTTACCTTGTCTGCCTCAGGTCCAAGAAAACCAGAGTGAAGTAATCTTACCTTGTCTGCCTCAGGTCCAAGAAAACCAGAGTGAATTAATCTTACCTTGTCTGTCTCAGGTCCAAGAAAACCAGAGTGAAGTAATCTTACCTTGTCTGTCTCAGGTCCAAGAAAACCAGAGTGAAGTAATCTTACCTTGTCTGTCTCAGGTCCAAGAAAACCAGAGTGAAGTAATCTTACCTTGTCTGCCTCAGGTCCAAGAAACGTCTCCATGGTAAGTTGAAGATATTGTAAAAATATTTTTTCAGTGTCGATAATTTCATTGATTATTTTTTCTCGTTTTTCTCTTCGTTTCTCTCGTTCTATTTCTTGTTGGATTTTTTCCTCTTCAATTCTTCGTTTCTCTTCCTCTTTTTTTCTTTCCATTTCAGCTTTTATTTCAGCTTCTTTCCTCTCCCTTGGACTTAATTCATATAAATTCTCTAAAATAAAAAAACGTTTTCTTCATTTTCAAATAATACCTGATATGTTTGATCTTCTGAAAGAATGTTAAATCTGATAAAAATGATAAATGAAATGTAGTATTACATTCTGCACTTCTGTAGTTGCAAATAAAGACAAACAACTCCATGCAGTGTATATTTAAGAAATTTTACCAGGACAGTGGTATTAGTCTACTTTTGAACTCTGAGGGATCTGTAACAAACTTGATTAATTGATTGAATCTGAACAACTAAACACCTTTTCCTTGTCAGCTCCTCACTTACCTTTAAGTTTTTGAAGTTCGTCTGATAATCCCGAGATATTCGCCTGATAAAATCCTAAATTCTCTTGAATCTCTTCCTCTTTCTCCCCAGTTACTGTCTTTAACATCAATATTACATCTTCTTTACATTTCTTATATTTCTATAATCACACAAAATATATTGTTTTAAACCTGCCACCTTTAACAAAAACAGAGGTGTAGACTTCTTTACAATAGTTATTACCAACTTCATCTTCACAATGTCAAGCTATTACCAACTTCATCTTCACAATGTCAAGCTATTACAAACTTCATCTTCACAATGTCAAGCTATTACAAACTCCATCTTCACAATGTCAATCTATTACAAACTTCATCTTCACAATGTCAATCTATTACAAACTCCATCTTCACAATGTCAATCTATTACAAACTTCATCTTCACAGTGTCAAGCTATTACAAACTTCATCTTCACAATGTCAAGCTATTACAAACTCCATCTTCACAATGTCAATCTATTACAAACTTCATCTTCACAGTGTCAAGCTATTACAAACTTCATCTTCACAATGTCAAGTTATTACCAACTTCATCTTCACAATGTCAAGCTATTACAAACTTCTTCTTCACAATGTCAAACTATTACACACTCCATCTTCACAATGTCAAGCTATTACAAACTTCATCTTTACAATGTCAAGCTATTACAAACTACATCTTTACAATATCAAGCTATTACAAACTTCATTTTTACA